AAAAGTATGTGGTGGGAGAACGTGGAGAGCGAAAGACCACACAATTCAATAGGCTGGCCCCTAAGAAGGGACAACAAAGCAGTCTCCGCCGTGCACCTGGGAGGACCGAGGCAGCCCGGGGACCGTCGGACAGGGCGGCAGGTCCGTAATACTCACGCATGGAGGAGGCCCAGCCGGTGGGGCGGGATCCCTGGAAGGAGGCGGCGGCTTTACAGATCGGACCCCCGACAAGTGAACTCCCTCCCCGAGCTGAAACGCTCCAAACCACTTGCTTGGGCGCAGGCCGGCTCCGCCCGGAGAGTAGAGAAAAGGCGTCCAGGCTTCGGGCTGCCGGACCCAGACCCAGAGTCAGTGCCAGAGCCAGCGCTAAAGGTAGAGCCAGAACCCGTCCCCGTCAACACTCATCCTCAACCTCCATTACCGCGGAGCTGAGCAGACGTGGCAGCGCACGGCGATGACGTCAGCCCCGCGCCGCCTGGCCGCCCAACTGCGAGCTGGCCCCCGGAACTACCCAGGCACCCAGTGGTTCGGCACCCTCACACCTCCCGCCTGCGCCTGCGCAGTGGGACGCGACTGCTCCGGGGCGCTTCCGGTCCCGCCTTCCTGCCCGCGCTGGCAAGCGTAGTTCCTTCCCCAACCTCAGTCAGCGGGTTCCTAGGAAGCGCTGGCACCATGGTAGCGAGCATTTTTTGTTGCCGCTTGGGCTCCACGTAACAGCTACGTGCAAGTTCCCGCCCCCATTTTATAGGTGAGGGCAGATTAGGAGAACTCACCTAAGATCGCGCGTCCTTGCTAAGAGCCCAAGTCATGAAGTCATGCTTCACCATCCGACTCGGAGCTTACTGTTTGTTAGGTAAAGGCATAGATAGGTGCTGGAGTTTCAAATACCGCAGGTACCACAATAGCTCAGCGTCTAGTGGAAACACAGTAATTACGGTTATTGTAATACATCCAACCTTGAAAGCATGTCCAAGGTCCAGAGCTAGCCTCAGAATGGTGTGATGAGTTCTGTGGTCCAATGGTAGTGTCAATACCGAGAAAAGCTTTGCAGAAATCGTGGGGTTTAGGCCAGGGCTCCACGAATGAGTAGGCAGTTCGTGGGAGAATGACTTTCCTCCAGGAGAGGAAATGGCAGAAAAAAAACTAAGGAACTGCCAATAATTACTCGTAGAAGAGTGTCAAGGGAAGTGTGTGAGACCTTCCCCACCAGCTTTTTAAGGCCCATAACAGAAAGCCCTTTGTATTGATTGATTATATGATCGGTTAAAATTTACTGAGAATTTTGATGTGGTTGTGCCAAACAGCAGACTAGCAGCTTTACACTCTATGTAGGTATCACAACGCTTTTGGTAGATACTTTTTTGTTGTTGTTTACTCATCTGTTTCTTCCAGGAAAGAAAGTGAAAGAGAGAGAGGCACACCCCCGCAGGATCCCCACACTGCATGCACCCCCACTCCCAGCCAGCCCAGATCACTAAAGTGGCTAACGTGCTCCCTGCGTGCTCAGAGAAGTCCCTGGACACAAAACTATTATAGGATCTTCCCCGAGTGGATCCAGTTTTGCTACTGCTTTGTCACCACCTGGTCCTACCCTGGTTGCTATTTTTACAGAGGAAGCCTGAGAAGTATCTTGTTGAAAATAACCCATCTAATAAGGGACAGAGACAGAATTTCGAGGCAGGATGACTGATAGCAAAACCACTTAAGTTAATAACATTCCCAAATATTCCTAGTGCCCTAATGTACCACAGAGCTTCAATTCATGAATATATGAGACCCAACATAGATCATTTTATATTTTGACTGTATTCACCTCTTGGCATAGGAAATTTTGTACATTTATTTTCATATTTGCTCTGTTCACTACTTCCTAGCTTGCCACACTGAGGGTCCTTTGCAGTTTTTCTGTTGACTCCATGGCATTCTTCTTTCATTGAACAATTGTTTATTTAGTGCCAACTCTGTGACGCACTGCATTAGTGAACTAGACAGATATGTCCCTGCCCATCTGGAGCTTATATTCTAGAATAACACTTATTAATATATAAAATAATTACAAATTAAATGTACTGTGAAGGAGGGGCCAGCAGGTGGTTAAGGCATGGTGGTTAAGGGTGCTGGACTCCCATATGGCCGACCATGGTTCGAGTCCTGGACCTGCCAGTTTGCTTTCGCACTTTCTCTCTCTCGCTTGCTCTGCTTCTCTCTGGTAAAATTTAAATAAATAACTAAAGTTAAATAAAATAGCTCTTTAAAAAAAGTATTATAAAGGAAGCAAATAAGGGGCTGAAGTAGAGAATAAGAAAGTTGCAGTTTTGAAGGGACATTTTTCTTTTTTTTTTTGTTTGTAGAGGTTTTTTGCCATAGGGCGCGTGCGCTTGCCAAACAGAGAGAGACAGAGAGCCAGAAAGCGAGAAATCACCCCCCAGGGAGGATGGCCACGCCACAATCCCTTCTCCATTCTCCTCTCGGGATCTTGGGCATGCATGCACACATGCCCGGCATGAGTTTTAAGCCACCGGGTCCGGGACTTGAACCACGGTCGACTATGTAGGAGTCCAGTGATATAGCCATTACACCAACTGTTGGTCCCTTTGAAGGGACATTTTTCTGAGGCAAAGATATTGCAGCAGGAAACTGAGGGTTGGAAAGGAACCAGGGATGCAAAGATGGAAGAGAAGAAAGGTCCAGATAGAAACAAAATTTATACAGAGATTCTAAGGTGGGTTCAAATTTGACACTTAAACTTCCTGTATAGCTGGATCATGGTGCTCAATGGGGAAAGTGAAATGCAATTAATTTAAAGACTTAAGCAGAGGCTTGAACATGAACGCCTTTTTAAAAAAAAAAAAAAAGAATTTCTTTATTTAGCTTTATTTATTCATTTATTTTAATTTAACCAGAGAGGGACAGAGAGAGAGAGAAAGTGAGAAAGCAAGCCACTAGGTCTAGGATTCAAACTGTGGTCGGCCATGTGGAAGTCAGTGCCCTTAACCACCACGCCACCTGCCAGCCCCAAGAACACCCTTTTGAACAATAGTATTTGCATTTTAAGTGACATGGGAGACCAATGAGGAGTTACAAGTAAGTGACAATTTGATTAAAGACTTAAGATCACTCTTGTTACCTTGTATTGATATGTTTGTAAAGAACAATTTATTATTGGGACCAGCAGTTAGAGTAATGGTTATGTCACTGGACTCCCATGTAGCCGACCCCGGTTCGTGTCCTGGACCCGGTGGCTTAAAACTCACGCCGGGCACATGTGTGTGCGTGCGTGCCCAAGATCCTGAGAGGAAAATGGAGGAGAGGGGATTGCAGTGTGGCCATCCCCCCTGGAGGGTGATTTCTCACTTTCTGTCTCTCTGTCTTCTCTCTGTCTGTCTGGCGAGCGCACGCACCCTATAGCAAAAACCTCTTCAAAATTAATTAATTAATTTTAAAAAGAACAATGTATTATTTATTTTTATTTAATGAAGGCCAATAACAGTGGTTGCTCTGAGCCACCCATGGTTTGAGAGGCACATGAGTTTACATGCCCAAAATCCCAAAAGAAAGAAATAAGAGAAGAAAGGACTGGCATGACCATTCCCTGTGGTGTGTGTGTGTGGACTTTCACTCTCTTTCTCCCAGGCAAGTGCATGAGCCCTCTGGCAAATTGCCTATGTGTGTGTGTGTGTGTGTGTGTGTGTGTATATGTATATATATATATGTATATACACACATATATATACATACACACACACATATATATATTTATATACATAAAATTATGGAAGTTTTAGACAATGGATAAATATTTGTCATTATAAAATTACTCCTAAACCTACACTACCCAGCATCACTTCAACAAACTTAAAGATCAAATTGGCTGGGCCAGCAGGTGGTGTGGTGGTTAAGGTGCTGGAATTCACGCATGGCTGACCACGGTTCAAGTTCCGAACCTGGCAGCTTGCTCTCTCTCTCCCTCTCTCTCTCTCTTTTTCTCTGGCAAAACTCATGTGAAAAAATAATAATAAATAAATAGATGAATAAAATAATTTTAAAAAAGGTTAAAAAAAAAGATCAAATTGGCATTTATTAGTGATTCATGAATGAGGCAGCATCCTGTCTATGAAACAGAAAGGCATTCTAGCACCAGCCCATGGCATGATGGCTAAGGTGGCTGGATGCCCTGTGGCTGACTGTGCAGTTGAGTCCCAGATCCAGCAGCTTGAGAAACATGCAGGGTGTGTGTGCCTGTGCGCCCAAAATCCCTAAAGGAGGGAGCGATGGAGGAGAAAAGATTGCAGCTTCTCTCCGCCCCATGGGCCCCCACACATGCTCCCTCTGGCAGAAAACAAAACAAAACGAAAACCATTAAAACGGGATTTCTTTGTCTTGTGGGTCAGGCAGACTGGGCCCAGACTGGATGCTGTGAATCTGTTTCTTGGAAAATGGTCCATTCCAGACTGCATTCTGGTTTGGTCTGGTCTGTTGGAAACTAGTGCAGGAGCTCAGTCTAAAACGGCCTCCCATAAATTTTACTATTTAACACTGATGATCTTTCCATGTTCAAGTTCCCCCAATTGTTCCATACTCACAGAGGAGCCTGTGCGACACTACTGGCAACCCTTAGGTGTCCCGAGTGCTGTACACCTTCACATATGCAACGAATCGACGCTATTTAATAGGAAGCACTTTGAGGCCATGGCTCTATGACAAGCCTTGGTTGTGCCAAGCGAAGCTGCAGGCTACCGTCTCCGACCTTGTTTTCTGGCTGCAGTGAATAAGTTGTTTTCTACCCGTTATGGAATGGGAGGAATTGGCATTACGAGACGTATTTTCCCCAAGGGATTCCAGGGAGGGAGGACGGTGGGCTGGACCAGCTTGCTACCCGGCGCGCCCTCCCAGGAGAACTGCAGCAGCCCTGAGGGGTGGGGACGGCGCGGCCATCTCTGTGTGGGGCGGCCCTCCGCCCACGTGGTGCGGCGCCCACGGCCATCTTTGTGCGGGGCGGCTTTTCCGCGGCTCGGCCGCCGGGCTCCGCAGCTGGTCCGCTGGCGATGGAGCCGACGGCTAGCTGGACGCTTTGGCTCGGGGCGGCGTTGCTGCTCCTCGCCCCCGAGGCGGGGCCGCCG